GCAGGACTGCATAAATTTTAAAGATTGCTGTGTTGCTGCGATGGGAGACCAGATTTGGGTTACAGTCGCTTAAAATTGTAAGGCTGTATGGGGCAAGCCATTTTCATTATTGAACTTCTCAACAGCTAATGTGATTGCATGCCTTGCAGTCATGATTTAATGATCACAAGAGTCAACTGCAGACGCTCCTCCCAACTAATTCAAGTGTTGTATTTAGCTTGAATTTAGGGATCTGTGAAGTGTTAGAGATATGGCAGAGAGGGGCCGTGAGTGGTAAGAGAAGGCAGCTCGTCCATGGCAAAGCCCCCTGCCACTCTGGTTTTCTTTAGCTGTGAAGCATTTGGCATGGAGAGAAATGCTCCAGGTACTGCAGACGGTGGACGGGAGGTGGCACTGAGGGGGTGAGGATGGGAAGAACGAGGTGATGATGAGGCAGTGCTGAAATACAGGATTACTCAGGTTGTCGGCTCACACTGTGTGACCTTGGCTGAACATCTTCCTTAGAGCAGTGATTGAGGGTTTCTTCTCAGCTATCTCATTAAAAATAATTAGAAATTAAAATAATGAAAATTAGCTGTCAGAAAGCAAGTGGATCTAAGCCATGTAACTGTTCCATGAAGAGTTTATTAAATAGGTTTTCACTAGACTCACAAGGAGACAGGCACTTTGTCTGCCTTGGCTTTGATCAAGTAATTGTAAAGCAAAAGCACTAGCTAGAGGAAGCTGGATTTAATGACAGGAACAAAAATGCAGGCTCTTAAATCCTTTGTAGCCTCTTGCTTTGTTTGCCTGATGCCTCTTCTGGGAGATGCTTGTTTTGGGGGGACCTTGCTGCATCACGAGCACATTTACCAGTGCTGCTGCTCAAACATAAAATAGGATTATATTGTGACAACTGTAGCTAGGAAAGCTCATTTATATATGGTCTGTCTTCAAGTGAGTTCAGTTAAGCATGATAGGACTTGTGTGACCACTCCATTATGCCCAGGAATTTCAAGGGGGCAAGAGACCTCTTGTGAAAGGCACTATGTGATGGAAGTAAACCAGCCCATCCTAAGAACTGCAGAGATCTTACTGAAAAGAACAATTGTTAACTGGGTGAGCATCAGTGTTGGGGTATGATGATCTGCAGCACTGAATTGGAAGAGTTGAAAATCTCTCCAAAAGGAGGATTATAGTCAAAGAGAAGGTATTTCAAAACAAAACTGAAAAAAAGATATGTTAATGCTTCCTTCATAAGTCAGCTTTGCTGTTGCAATTATCTGTGCTTGTTTCTGTTGAATAAAGCCATTTATTACTGTGAAGTAATTTCTCTTTAGGAACGTTTTTATAAAACTTGAGGAAAAAAATGAAATTTGTATTAATGCTAAGAACCGTTTCTGTGTAATCTCGTAAGCAAATTAGGGTAGTTTTTGAAAATGAAGAACTTGGGTTTTTCTGCTTTCCCTGTGGAAAGGGTGTTCCAGGATCTGCTTTATCATCCAGTCTAAAATAAAAAGTAGTTCGGGTTGGAAATGCACTTTTGTTTTGTGGGCTGCCGTTTCTCCTTTGCGCTCACAGTAGGGTGCTTTGTTTTTTCACGTGTGCGGTACTCAGGTAGTGCTCTTTTGTTTAACTATGTGGTGTTTCCTCTCGATATTCACCCATGTGTGTTTTTAGAAAGATTTCCTATCCCTAGGCTAAGCCATTCAAGCCTCTGTCATATTTGTGGGATGGGTTCTGCATCCAGCTGATGGTGGGAGTAAGTTTTCCACACACCTCTTTCCTTAGAAGATGTTTTTCACATACCCAGTGTTTCCCTCAAGGTCTTCCTGGTATTTGCGACGTAGGACTCACCTTGAAAGGTTTTAATTTTAATTATTTCCCTTGGAATTGGAAATTTGTATAACCCCGCAGTTTTAAACTTATGTATTCAGTGTACATTGCTAAGCACGAAACTAGAGAAGGCTGTGGCAATATTAAGCTCGGTCTTTCAGTAGAGGATGAAGGGATGACAGACATCCTAAAACACATTTGTGTCTGGTATTTGGCTAGTACTGGAGTAGTTAAAATCATATGAAATGATATATGAAATGATAATCCGTGCAATAAATGTGCAAGTGGTCACAATTCTTAGGTGGCACCATGAAGATGATCCACAGCTATATATATGTATACGTCCTGTTAGACTTCTTTTACTGTAGCCATAGAATCAGGTTTTGCTGTTGCTCTACTCTTGTGATTACGATCTATCTCATGAAAAAAAATCACTGCTTCGTCTGCCCACACTCGCTTTACATCCTTTGCAAATGTCCAAACTTCCAGATGTGCTGTACCTTTCCTCTGAGATACTTTTAATCCAGAGTTCAGTGCTGAGCATTCGTTTTACGCGTATTTTGTAAAGGCTTGATTCTAATTTTAAAAATCCTGATGTGTTTGGTGGGAAGCCAATCAATCCTAAGCTTTTTTTTGGTATTCAGAGTCATGACCACCTTTGAGTTTAGTGAGGCGTGTTCATTCTGGGGGATTAAAATTTCTCCCTGGTTTGGGTTTTGTTTTGGTGATGTGTGCATTGATTGCTGCTTGGTGACAGACAACAGAGCACTCGTGAGAACACTCTCAGCACATTTATATCATGGAGCTTCGTTGCACTCACAAAAAGCATGTTGAAGGGTTGTTCAGTTAGCAGCTTGTCAACTTCTTGAAAATTCTAAGAAATGTCTGTGGAAAAGGTTGGGGCTGTATTAGTTATGATCCTGTTATTTTTACAGCAACCAGTGAATAGAATAAGAGCATGAAGAAAAAAATCTGTGTTTCAGGTAGATAAGCAAATACTAGTTATCTTTCCAGAGATTGCTCCTAGCAATGAACACAGCAATGGAATGGAAGGTGTAGTTTTTCAAGTGGTCTGTTTACTCTGTTGATGCCTAAAAGTAATAACAAAAAGTACTGTAAGCAAAAGGTTTGCTTACGTGTTGTTTATGTATCCAACTAGAGTGTGTGAGAATATAAGGAAGAGCTGAGCATTTGCTCACCAAACGGACTTGCATAGACTTCTTAGGATAGCAAATGAAGCAGGTACATGAAACTACTGTTAAATGAATAGGAGAATGTGTGTGCCCACACCAGCTTTCTGCATTTTATCTTCTGAGCAAGGTTTGCCCACACGGCTTTTAAAAATAAATAAGTAAATAGATAAATGATGGCATCGGTGACAATTCAGATGGCATTCGGGATATTCATAAATACAAGCAACCTCCAAGCCTCTTGCTGTCAGGTGTGATACCCATACTGTTCAGCTGCGCTCACCAGCTCAATAGCAGAGCTGTCACTGGAGGAAATCATCATGCCACAAGCAGTTGCCCTTTGGAGGTCTCACATGGAGCAGGCATCTGGATAAATGCTTTGCTGCTTTCATCTTCCTTCGTAGATGTGGTCCATGCGGGGACAAATGACAGCATGGAATTAGCTGCCGAGCTTCTGTTGAAGTCAGCGAGTGTGTCATTTTTAGTGTAGGCTGGGAAGTTGTATTTTATCTCTCTTTGCTGTTGCTTTTAGTTTACAGATGATTTTGTATTGGGATTTTGCCTCAAGTATTTAGACTTATCAAAAGATGCTCCAGTGCTTGGGTAGAAACCTTACAGAAACTGTATCTCTTCAGGTCAAAGCCGGCTGTAGCCATAGAATCATAGAATCACCAAGCTTGGAAAAGAGCTCCAAGATCATCCAGTCCAACCACCCACCTGCCACAAGTATTTCCCACTAACCCACATCCCTCAATACAACATCTACATGTTCCTTGAACACCTCCAGGGGTGGTGACTCCACCACCTCCCTGGGCAGCAGCCCATTCCAGTGCCTGACCTTTCGTTCAGAGAAGAAATCTTTCCTGACATCTAGCCTGTATGTATAATATCCAATGCCATCCTCCTGGCTGGGCCCATGCAAGTTCCATATGCACTTCTGTGTCAAAAGGGGAAGGGGAAATCTTTTCTCATAGCACGCTGTTCTAGTGGCACTGTGAGGCTCTTTAAAAGTGAGAAGTACTTCTTAATTAACTTTTTATTTTTCTTCTGTGTGGTTTGGAGAGGTAATATTTTTCTTCTGTTTAATATGGAAAACAAAATGGTTCACAAAATGTTCATTATGAGTAGTATACCTGTTTTTATATTTTTTAGGACTACACCAATGCGTTTGCTAGCTCTGCATGTACTGCTTTTATCTTTGAAGCTATCATTTCTGTAAAGCAACAAAATCTTACTTATTTTCTTTCGTTATTCTGCTCTGCTTCCATTGATGCCTCTAAACTTTTGACTCCAGACTGGCAATATGAGGGTAAGATGGCAAAATGAAACTTCCTGAGCATTGCTTGTCTGTCTTTAATTTTTATTTTCCTTTTGAACGTTATTAAAACTCTTTCCACTCCCTTTTATTAAACCCTTTTGTTGCAATTAATTCCAATTATTTGTTTCTGTTGTGAAGCTTTAATTATGATTTATACCTTTTAACCATTCCCTTGTTTGTTTTTTTCTTTCTTTGGGATAAATTACCATCGTATTATACCTGTCCTGAAGGACTCTGCTTCATTGTGGTCCCTGCAAGGCACGGAGATGTTCGTAGTGTAGCCATCAATGCTGTAGTGTGGTATGTGATGAGGATCTGGTGTGTGTGTAGTTGAGACATGGGAAGGCAAGCTCACCTAAGAGAGGATGTAGCGATCCGTGTAGTTCATGCTCTGTTACTGTTAGTTTTAAAAAATGGATCAGCATCTGAGATATTAAATTCTCAGTTCTGGAATTCTCCTTTGCTTTACAGAGTTGAGTTGAGGAAAAGATAAATGAAGAGCTCAGATTTTGATCCTCTGAATGTAAATGAGCTGTAAACCGTTGTAGCTTATACATGTCATATTTCAGAGATGCTTCTCTTCGGTACGCTGAATATGCAAAATCACAAAACAGACCGAAAGAAACACAAAATCCTTTCTCTGGAATCAGAAGTAACTTTTCTTTTTATCTTTATAGATTGCAAGTTGGCCAGAACAGGTCCTCCAGCCACAATAGTTCCCATTGATGAAGAGAGTCGGAACGGTGAGTGCCCTTTGTTCTCGTGACACAGCTGCGCTCTCCGGTTGGGGCACGGAGGCTCCTGCAGGGATTGAGGTGCCTGTGTCTGGCCTGGCGGCTGGAAACTCTATGCTCTGCTCTGAGAACTGGTCTGCAAAAACCTCTGGCAGTGAGGGGTGGTGGTGGGAAGGGCAGAAGGATCCACTGTTGTGAGAGCTGCTGCTTCTTAATGGCAATTATACATCTTAAAGACTTGGCTCTTTCACCTTGGGTTGCTCACGTGAGAACGTTTCTTCTTTTACAGATTTCTTAGACCTCAGTTATTTGTAATGTATGAGTAAGTTAACTACCTGTTTGCTTCTGTGTACGCTTATTGTTACCCACTGAGTTCTTATTCTTAGGACATCAATCTATTTGATCTCCTATTTGTTTAGATTTTTAGTGTGGTAAGGTAAGACTTGAAAGCTTCTTTTACTGAAGTTTGCTTACAGTCTTAATGTTGTATTTTGGGTCTCCCATGCAGCTTTCAGAAGGTTCCTTGTTTGCTGTTGTTCTTTGGTATGAGCGTTAGTTACGGATACCTCTTTAGCACGGCTACTCAGTTGTGGGATTTGATGCTTATGTGTGTGTCACCCTTCTGGGAAGGTGTCAGATGCTCTTGAGTGGCAAAAGCCCTTGATTTACATGTTGGTGGTACTGATTCTTGTGTAGCTCTTTTTATGTAGTAGCAGCGATTGAGCAATCTGAAGAACGTGGTGTGAAGAATAGTGCAAAAGAAATTAAAAAAAAAAAAAAAAAAGCCAGAAGTTGATCATAGTCATCTGAAGCATAAAGAAAAATAAGGAGCAATAAGAATTTTGCGTGCCTGCGATTGGTAGTTGAATATGGTTTCTTAGTCTTCTGATGCTGAAGTCCAATGTTTATTCAATATTGAAAATTTCTTCCCTGACTGTTGAATGGTGGGAAGAGGTGTGTTTTTTCCTCAAAGCTTTACACGTGTCTGCAAAGATTTAATGTATCTATCTCTCTGTGAATTCCTACGAACCATTAATTCCCCATTAAATAAGTCAAATGGGAAGCAGAAACCTGAATTGGCGTTGTCGATAATGGAAACGACACACCTCATCTGTAAGCTACAATATGTATTAAATTAATGGATCTCCTGGGAAGCCAGCTCTAGGATTGATATGTCCTCAGATGCTCAGCTGTCTTTATTGAAGCGGTAGGTTGCATCCTCCCCACTGCTGTGCGTGACTGAAGGTAATGGAGGTTGAATCCAGAGCCTGCAGCTCAGCAGTTGGATCAGGGCTACTACTCATTGACTTGAAGATCTATGGAAAAAAAGTGATTCAATATGCTTAAGCTGATGGTAGGTATTTTAACTAACATAGGCATAGCAAAGGATGCTTTGCAGCTGGCAGCATCTACTTTCCTGGCACTGTGTTCACCCTTCCCGAGGTCTTCTGGTTCAGTGGAAATGCTTTAGCTTGCTAAAATACGTGTGGTGCCACACTAAGCAGCGGATACTGCAACGTAATTGTTGAAATGCACACTTCTGTGTATCAGGGAGTCATTGTGATCAGAGTATGACAGATTAACTGATGGAGCCATGTTGTCTTCTGTTATGTTTCCTATGTGGAACTGCACCGGACTGTTTTTTTCCTCCACTCCTGGTCGTGTTCACATGCTTTGCATTATACTTACATGCCATGTCTAGTCATGTCGTTGCAGTGTTGCAAAAATATGACATACCACTGTTAGCAATGCTGTTTTAATAGTCTATCTTCAGTTTCACTGCACTGAGTGTTTCCTCTTAGCATACAGAGTCTAATCATTACTAAATCATGGAGTCTCTGAAGAGTCTGTGCAAATCTCTTTGGGGCTATTTGGCATTTGTGCAAACACAGGTAAGTGCAGTGAGTCTCACTGGCTTCTCATGAGAAAGTTGCTGTGGTTTAATACAAGTGCGTTGAGAATAGCATTTCTTAACAAATGTGATGTTTTCCTGCCTTTCCTTTCTGTTTCAGAAAAAAATAATGAGTTAATGGGTTGAAGGATGAGGATGTTCTTCGGCATGTTAATGTCTTCCTATACATCCGTCCTACAGAAATGTCTTTGACATTATTTCTTCATTAATACTTGGTGTGTATTCGACTATCTAGCAGTACCAATTTGATCTGGATCAGACCCAGGCACATAATAACATTTTGTTAAATTAGAGCACGCAGTACGGAGTTCATTCTGGCTTTATTTTGATGTAGGAAGAAAAATTATATTAAATGTAATCCAGTCTGCCTGTTGGAGTTGACCCTCACACAATGTTGTGAGCAAATTCTAGCAAGAGAAGTGGACTTGTTTTGACTTGGGTGTGCCATGTAGCTGCGTGGTGCTAAGACCAGAACTGAAGTGCTATTTGGTTTGACCCTGATTTAGCACCTCTAGGCTGATTGTGGAGTACAGGTGCTGCTTGTTGGAGCCTCCCTAAGTCCGGATTAACAGCAGGTACACATGCTGGTTCAGATCCAGTCTCGACTGAACCTGGAAAGTTATGGTCAGATGGTCATTTTTCTTCTTTGGCTAAGCCTGCTGCTTGGTGTGCGCAGCATTGGCAAGTACTGCCTCCAGGTCTGGAGTGTTCTGGATGTTTCCTTGCCATTTAGGAGTTTGGGCCATAGAAATCCTTGGAAAACAGTGTATAGTCAGGAAAACTGCAACAAAAGCTGCAGAAAAGGGGACTTGCTGACTTCTGCTGTGCACCTTGGCTTTGATGCAGCAGGCTGTAATGGTAAAAGATACCCAGTTGTGGCTGGCTCTCTTCGTTGTTTTGGCGAAGCTTTCTTTTAGAGTTAATGATCTTTTGATTGCTCTAACCTCAAAATTCTTCATAATGGAGGAAAATCAGCAGATATGCTGTGGTTTAGTAACGTCCTTTTAAGAAACGCCTTTTTCTTTCATGACTTGAGTACTCGATTGCCAAATACAGAAATTACCTTCTGTATTCAGAGATGCATCTAATTAAGACTAAGGCTTATTTGTTCTTAATCAACTGTCCAAAGAATCGAATTACTGGCAGCATTAGTAGTCTTACTGAGGCGTAACGAATTTCTATTTCCAAGGTAGGTTAAATATCCTACATGAGCAGAGCTGTTCTTCCTAGGTAAGAAGACTTGGAATGAAACAGACAAAAACCGAGTGCGAGAACTAGAAGTTCTGAGTTTTCTTTTTATACTCATCTAATACACGCTTTCAACAAGATTGAATGTGGAGCATTTTGTATAACTTTCATTTGTTTTCCTCCTGCTTGTCATGACAGCAGCTGGCTCGGACGTGGGGCTGCTCCAACTGCTGTGTTGAGTTGTTCAAATTGTAAACGAGGGTATCACTTCTTAGCTAACATCTTTGATTTAGTCTGTGAATTCATGGCGTGGGGGGAAGAGGCCTAAATTTGTGAGTGTAATTTCGTTTCATTCATGCCTGTTCTGTTCCATTTTGAAATCATGTATTTTTAAGCTTTCAAAATTAACAATTTGGTTGAAAAGTCATGAATCAATTTGGTGTCTACTGCTATTTTTATGCCACAAATGTGAATTCACATTTCTGGATTTTTCTTGGAGAACAAACACGTTAAGACTTGAATTAGCTGTAAAACGAATGAGTTGCTTATTCTTTTTTTTTTATTATTCATGAGCACAGTCATCAACAATGGCCAATATTTAAGAAGAGCGTTTGTTAAAAATATCATTGATTCTATTTTTTCATGTTTTTTAAATGGTAAATTGTAAGAAAAAAGTGTCAAAAAGCAGGATGTAATTTGGGGTGAGAGCTGGAGAGGAAGGAACGTGTCTTTTAGAAACGGATTAACTTTTTCATAAGGGTAGTAAATACAGTTAGAAAGTTGGAATTAGTAAAATGTTTTTGTGCTATCAGCTGTCTGAAATGTATTCTAATGTGGTGTTGATGCTCTTTTGGGAAGGTGAATTAGCTTTAAATTGCCTTCAGGGATGAGGTGTTTTTTTCCCCCCCTTGCCTTCGTAATGAACTTTCTGTCTATTTCTTTAGGTTCTTTGGACTAGAGTCATTTTGTTCAGCATTTTGTTGTCTGGGCACACACGTGGGTGCCACTTCTTGGCTCAGTTTGCACCAGTGTAAATCTGTCTCGTGTTTGTGACTCTTATTGCACTCATTCAGCTGTCAGCTACTGAGCTTTGCTCACTAAATATTGAATAACTGTATAAGTAATGAGTAGATCAGGCAAGATCCACAGGTCTTTCCCAGCCTTGACATTTAAAATGACCAAGATTTGTAATTTAACTCTATTCTGTAGTAGATATGTTATTTTGAATAATGGTTATGCTGTGTAATGCTGAGGCCTTTTCAAAATGCATTTGAGATATATATATTTTTAGTGGAAATTCTCATCCAAATGATTTAAAGTTTCTGAACGGTTCCTCTTTGACAGTTTGAGTAGTCAGAATAAATTATTCATACGAAATTGTGATTCTTAATATGTACGTATTCTCAGATTGTCAGTTTACCTTAGTAAATGAAGAACTGCATATTTCAACAATTTATTTCTTGCACATGATTTTGAAACATTGAATGTAATTTTACTAGCAATATCCCTTTTCCCTTACCATTGCAAAAAAGGCTGTGCAAGGATAGCAGTATTTAATGTATTTTAAGCCTGCTTAAAATCCTTTTTTGTTTTGGCAATTGGGTGATGATTGTATGAGCAATCCTCCTGTGGTAATTTCCAGACATGCTGGGTTGCACTGTGTGATGTATGGTTTTACCTTTTGTTTTGACGTGTACGCCCACAGTAGACCACAACTGCAAAGCTCTGCTTTTATGTTATAAAGCAAGTCAAAAGGAGCACAGGAAAAATCTGAAAGAAGCATAGAATCACAGAATGGCCAAGGTTGGAAGGGACCTCAAGGATCACGAAGCTCCAACCCCTCTGCCACATGCAGGGCCACCAACCTCCCCATTTAATACCAGTCCAGGCTGCCCAGGGCCCCATCCAA